GAAAAGTTATTCTTGGCGGATTTGCATTTAGAGACAGCCTACAGTAATTTCGGCCACACTAATAGAAACATATCACATTTGTAGGATAGGTAAATAAAACCTTTGCGTACGTACCTCCAAACTACAACAAGGAGCAAAAAAATATGATTTTGATTATACCCATTGCAACTTGGATTCTGACCGGGTATTACACTCGTCTTGCTGACTGGTCATCTTTATGCCCACGCGGATTCCCTTTCATATGAATCATGTACAATTGGTGATTATAATTTTGTCCGTGACTGGCAGACAGGTTTCACAGACCAACCTCAACATTCGGTCGCAGAGCACTCGACACTGAGTCGGAAGTGAATACCACGTCACCTCTGGATGACATTTTGTTCAAAAATAAGGGTACACAGCGAGTGAACTCCTGAGAAGTCGCCTTGACCAGTCTGCCTCATGAATCTTCCCAGCGGCAAGAGCTCGGGTATCATTCTCGACCTACGCTGTTTTACACGGAGAAGATAAGGATAGGTTGCCTGCCCAAACCTCCTCTGTGTATATTTACTTCTTTACTCCCTGCTGTGGAGCAGGTTATATTGGTCGCGCGAGTGGGCGTCTATTTAAAAGAATAGGGGAACAGCTCTCAGCATGGCAGAGAAAAGTGGAAGTTAAGAGCATAGACGTGCTATTCTCACACTCATTATGGATTCCGGGCATCATGTGAACCCCAGCACATGTTTCCGTGTTATTTACACGATCCAGCCGAACTACCCCAAGACACTGGGTCAGCGTCTGCTTAAAACAGCAGAGGCATCTGCCATCTGGTTATGAAATCTGATCTTGTGCCACCAGAGGAATCTAATTTAAGCTCGTCAACTACTTCGGCTGAAGTTGCGTTAACTGCATTCACTCCCCGGCGCTTTGCCAACTTCCCCGTAATTCTCTCTGTTTCCTTACTCCTTATGTCATTTTACCGCCTCTCCCCCTCTCGCTTGCATGAAAAAAACGAACTCTAATCGATTTCACTTATCACTTGCAACTTTTACCGGTACCCATTGCCATATAGATTTGCCGCCTGACGATAATTTATCGAAAGCGGCAGTCCGACCGTCGTGGCCGCCGATGTCTACCGTGAGTTCGACAGCGGGGTGAGGACAGGAACGATGACTTGCACGCGAATTAGTTGATAGTGGTAGTATACTTGCGCTGCATCCGATGGACTCTTTCCTCCCACCTCGCCCATCACCTGGACATCCAGACGTCCAGCATCTCCCACGGTCATTATTGCCCGAGACCTCCTTGTTTGCGTCGGACTTGTGCAGCCCTTTTCTTCTCAGCTTGGAGGAGACGGTATTCTGCGCAGGTTTTCAGGAGAAGAAGGCTGCTGTCGTTGTGTCGCTTGGAATTGCGTCTTAAGGTCATCCATCGGCCAGGGGTCGCCGTGCTTTTAGACTTCTGCCGGGATGGCACCGACTCCTGGCGTTTTCCTCTCGGAGATTCAGTGCACGGCCCTGATTGTTTCGGGGAGAGAAGGTGGGAGATCCAAGTCGTCGTTCACATCAGTTTGACGGAGTCAGCCAATGACGGCACAGGAGACTGTAGACAGGCGGTTGAAGATGTTTCAGAAGTACTCAGCCCAGTGCTTCAGGATATGCAATTCCTACGTCAGAAGTGTTGTTCTGTCCGAGCTGAGGACCGGCGCGGTTCCTCTGGCTGTCGGACCGCAGATAACTTTGATTGATGCGCGGAAGTCCTTGCCTTCACTGGGGTCAGCATAGCTCCGGATTTCCTCGGCCTTGCAAATCATCTGGGCGGCCAGAATCTCCCGCAGTCGTTGATGCGTGGAGCGACGTTTGCGGAAGAAGGTCTCCTTGTTTGCGTTGGTCCGATCAATCATGCAAGACTTGTGCAGTCTGTGCTTTCCGGCGAGCATGTTGCAGACGTCTGCGTTGCTGTTGTCGAACCAGTCCTGGTTTTGTCGACCTGGGCGTTCGAGGACGTCCGAGGCAGTGGATTGAAGAGCATTCTACAGTTGAAACCACCGAGTTTCCTCGATGACTTTGTCGTCGGGGACTAACAGTTCTTCCAGGCGCTGAACTAACTGAGCATATAAATGTAGGCGGTGAGCGGACAAATTCAACAGAGTATTATTGAACTTACCTGGTGGTCGCTTAAACTGTGGTCTCTTGTGGGGTTGTAGTCGAGTCCTCGTCTTGGGGATGACGAGGCGGTGGTCTTTCCAATCATTGGCGTCACAGACGCCTTGATCACCAGTACGCCCCGTCGATCTCGCCTCCGGACGCAAACGTAGTCCAGCAGCTGACAGCGCCGCGATTGAGGATGCATCGGAAAGCGGAAGCTGGTGGTCAGGAGGAGGTGATATTCGCAGGTTTGCAGGAAAAGAGAGCTGTCATCGTTGCAGCTGGCGATTCCATGCGGACCTAGCACTCCCCTCCAGGCAGCCTGATCTGTCCCGACGCGGGCGTTGAACTAACCAGGGACAACCAGCCTGTCTGCCTTCGGTACAGACGCCAGGAGGGCGTGCAGGCACTCGTATAATTTGTTCTTCTTTTGGTCGTAGTCGGCCATTTGGTGGGCTGACTTCTTATCGAAGGTCTTCGTAGGCTCGTCAAATGGTATCCCGAATCCTTTCATGGGTCTTCTTGTAACTCTAGTTGCGAAAATTCAAACAGGCTTAGTTAACTGCGTAAAAAATAATCTTTATTTCGTCTACTAAGTTGAGTGTAATATGTAATGTGAGTCACAAGACATGATCCGTTAGTACATGAGTAGATATGATATAATATAAACATCCATCAAGACCATTTGGTTAGATTCCCAAAGCAAACTTCTCCCATCATTCAATCCATCG